TATATATATATATACATATATATCTATCTACCCATATATGTTATACGTTAGTATAAACTGATTGTGCACTTAAAGTTAAAATACATACCCATGGTTTTTACCATAAATTCATCATAGTTCATTAATGGGGGCGTTTCAGCGCCCTGTATAACATTCATGAAATCCTCGTCACTACAGACTGAATCATAATCGCTGGGATCGTGCATTTTGTATTATTACTTTTCAGAATTTAATTTATAGAACAGTTCATAATACTCGATATACTTTTTATTTGCTCTTCTGGCGTTACTCAACACTGTCACATACTTTTAGGCAGCCAAATTAATTGAATCTGCAGCACTTACAATATATATAAGACGTCTTGCTTTCTCACTCCACTATAGCTATAATCCGATATTCCTTATAGAGTCATTGGCCTTCCAATCAATCATTAAGATGATAGATTACCGTCTACGCGAGCTGCATGATCGTAGCAGACACCAGAACACCTGCGATAGACGCCGCTTAATCGCTGACCGAGTGCGTTAGAATGTGAAATACGACTAAGGCAGAAACATTTGAGAGCCTCTAATCAGCAGCGAGCAAATACAAAAACTACCAAGGCTATCAAAAGCACAAATGAGAAATGAGACACCCAATGCAAACGTCTCCCAACTGATTAGAATACTTATAAAACGAAAAGTAACAGAGATACGAAATGCTCTATTTGCGAAGAGATCGCTCGACTCGACTCGACTAGCTCTCAGCTGTTCTATTAACTGAGATGCTATCAAAATGTGTGTTTCAACAACTCTCATTCTCTTTCCACTTGCTTTGGGCGAAAGTAAAGGTGCAAGAGATTGTCTGAGTGTGTGTGTGTGTGTGTGTGTGTGTGTGTGTAGGAATCCAAACAAACGGAATGCTATATCTTATCGCACCTGTTGAATTCAAACTTGCTTTGCGCGCATATTGAAACAAGCAAAGCCCATAAATAGCTAACGATTTCAATTAATTAATGAAATCAGACGACAATATTATGATTACTAATTGAAATTCGGAAAAGATAAAATTCATGACAACTGGTCAATTTCATAATTTACAATCTTCATTTCGAAACATTTCTGGCTTAGTATAAAATATAAATATATATGTTATACATATGCTTTCTATTAATTTTTTTGTATACTATAATAATTTAAAAAATACTTTTAAAGAGCAGCTCTATAATATAGATGAAGTTGAACATAAATTGAAGTTTCCATACATCTATGAACATGTATCTTACAAGAAAAACTCTCCAGAGTATTTTTTCAGAGTAGTTAGATTTGACAGCTTCAGAGATATTGATGTCATCTATCATGTCAAAGTTTTTCTCTTTACCATAAACGAAGATTATGAAATTTAAGATGACTTCGTTTCCTGTAAGCAGTTCCATAGTTACCCAAAATAAAACACATTTGGATTGTTTTTAAAACGGCACACCAAGGAAATAGCTTCATTGGAATGCTTAAAATTGTATTTAGTTTTCTGCATTTCAATCTATATTCATATACACTTAGAATTTTTAATAATCTTAGTTTTCATTGTTTTCAAAATACGTTTAAAGTTTTTGTTCTTTTGCAATTGAATTCAAGTTTGGTTTTCTTTTGATTTGATTTTTTTTCTTGTCATTTTTTTAAATATATATTTTTTTAAATGATTTTTGAAGAGTATTTTAACTCTTGTTTGCTGCAATACTTATTTGTTTTTTTATAACATTTTCAGATATGTCTATTGATATTTGAATATAGAAATACTGACACATACAGTTACGTAACGTACGCATGGCTGCAACTATTTTATTGAAAAAAGTGAAAACGAATATGAAATAAATTGAAATTGAAATTAATTTTATATACTTTTTCCTATAAAATACTTGTTGTGAAAAGTTTTGCAGAATTGTTTCAGCATTTTAATAAATATTGGGTCAGTTTTGGGCTTAAAATGCTGAAACAAGTTGCAGAGCTTCAAAGTTTCAAATAAAATAAATTATTTATAAAAAAAAAATGTATTTGAAAAACTTGTTAGTTTCTAAATCTCTTTAACAATTAGCTATTTGTGAATTTTTACTATTTTCCGTTTGTTTGCATATTTGATATGTTTTCATTTGTTTCTGTTTATTATTTTATAATTGATATGTTGCATATTTGCCTACAGATATAGGTTATATATAGATTAATCTGATCTCTATTTGCAGTTAGTTTGAATTTGCGTTTTATAACATTTATAGTTTCTATACGCTGATATGTTTGTGATATAGTTTTGTGGCTTACGTATAATATCGTATAGATGTATATAGTATACGATATATATATATATATTTATTTAGTACTAAATTTTGTATAT